AAAAAAAAAAAAAAAGCAAGCACCCAGCTACTATGACTCCTTCTTTGGAAGGACTCTGATTCCTCTCATTACAATAAGAGTATCCCTTCATGACATATTGCCTTCATCTTGTCCTTTGCAATCCCACTGGAACAGCCTGCTCTTCTGCCAACATGTCTGCAGTGCCCTTCCCAACAATCCTTCAAAGATTTGCTCAGTGTCAGGAATGCAAGGACAATCATGCCCAGGTTTCCCTGTGATGTTCCTCAGCCTCACCAATGCAGTGATGGTGGGTACTGCTGGAACACCACCTCCTTCAGGGTTGGCAGTTCTTGCCTGATCATCTCTCTGAGTAATTTTCACCTGGGTAAGGGTTAACGTCAAACCTGGGAGTGGCTCCACTGACAGTTTTTTTGTCCATCAGCACTTGTAAGAGTTTGATATCTTTGAACTGTCCAAAAACCAGTCCATATAGAAGAATATGCTGCTGTGCTTTTATATTCTGTAGATGTTATAAGAGCTGTGTTTGAATCTGTTGTCTCCTGATACACAGAATCATAGAATCATAGAATCATAAAATATCCTGAGCTGGAAGGGACCATAATGCCACTCAGTTCAACTCCTGTTTTTGCACAGGACCATGCCCAAGAATCCCATGTGCCTGAGAGCATTGTCCAAGTGCTTTTTGAACCCTGTCATGCTTGGGGCTGTTACAGCTTCCCTGGGGAGCCTGTTCCCATGCCCAACCACCCTCAGGGGAAAAACCTTTTCCAAATATCCAACCTAAACCTCCTCTCACACAAGTTCCAGCCATTCCCTTGGGTCAAGTCTCTGGGCACCAGAAGGAAGAGATGAGTGTCTGCCCCTCCTCTTTGCCTTGTGAGGCTGTTGGAGATCACAATGAGGTCTCCCTTCAGTCTCCTCCTCTCCAGGCTGAACAACCCAAGTGACCTCAGCTGCTCCTTGTATGGCTTCCCTCCAGACCCTTCATATGCATTATTGCACTTCCTATGAACTGAAGTAAAGTTTCTTAATTGATCATCTCTAACAAAAACCATCTGTGAAATAGAAATACCAAATTCAGTACACCTGTAACAAGAAAAGGACTATATCTGTCCTGAGCCTGCTGCCTCTTGCTGCAGGTGAGCATTTTGCTGTTTTCTTTTTTGGAGAATGCAGAGGTGGCAGGGGAACAGCCCATTGCTTGTTGTTACTGGGAGCCTGGAATGCCATTATGTGTTTGTCTGCTTGACACTTGATCTTGCATGACAAAACCAAAAAACAAAGGCAAAACTGAATCAGCAGATTAGTCAGCTTAATCCTGTGTAACTAAATGCTGTACTTCATTTTCAGTACTGTTATTTTCAGCTGTCCTTTGAGATCGTTATTTGAGCTTTGTTATCATTCAGCCAAGCTACTTGCCCAGGACATTCACATAAATAAGATGCAAAATATATAATTCAGCAAAATATTTCTGTTGTTCTAATTTAATCTCTTTTCATTTTGTCCACATAGTGTTAAAACCACAAGATCTTAATGCTACTAAAATGTCATTTATAATGAGGACACAATGGGCTCTCTTTTTGCTCTCATTTTAATATTGAAAGAAAGTGAAAAGAACCTTTTGTTTCAGCCACTATTGTAAGTGCTAAAAGGTTTTTAAAATAACATGTAGTTTCTGAGACATTTGCTATCTTATTTTAAATATGAGAGGAAGACAAATGGTGGGAGATGCCAGTATTAAAATTGAAATCAGCTGATTCTTGCATTCAACACAGTCACAGCAGCAGCACAAATTCTTGACACAGCTCATGTAGTTCATAAGTCACATTAGCAGATACTGTCCCATAAAAACCACAGAACTGCAGTCAGCATGTTTGCTGGACCTGGATTTTGGTCTTCTTCATGTTCAACAATGTGACACAGGCAAGAAGTTTTCTTTTACTTGAAAGTTACCAGACTATTCAGTCCCGGTAACATAATTTCAAAGGTTTGTTTGCAAATGTCAAAGTCAACAGCCTTCTTTCTCAAGTAGAAATACTCTGCAGTTTACCATGCACGTTTCCTTCAAGCAAATTAGCACCAGTCACAATGTGTGATGTAGGCTTCAGTGTTTAAAATAGACTTTGCCTTTTCCTGTGAGTACACCATGCACTTGTGTGATCTTAAATGTGCAAACATGCTGCGGGTCAAAATACATAGTTGTTACATTTCATGCAAGGCTGTCAGCCGTCCGACCATCCTCTGAGAGGACACAGCTCCTGGAGGTGAAATGCCTCCTGACTAAACATTTCCTGCTGAAGTACAGAGTGATATTACTTGTCCTCACTTAAATGGGGTGGTTTTGCTTTGCAAAACAAAACTATCAGAGTTCCATTAACAAAAAAAAGTTTACTGAGTTTTAGCACGTGAGATATTCCAAAACCAAAAGCATAAATCATCCTGCTGAGATTCTTGTTGATTTGAAGTTTTTTTTATCCCCTAAGCCCAGCATCCAACTCATGTGAAAAGAGCTGATATTCAGAAATATTTGTGGATATTCTAGTATTATGGCCATAAATTTAAATAAGCCTTTCCCATTAATTTTGTTAGAAGTTATCTGAAAATAAGACTATAAAAATGTAGGAACAGCAATTTACCATATAGATGTTTTTTTTCAGGAAACCTCAAATCAGTTTTGAGGTATCAAATGCCATGGATGTCTGTTGTCAACAGATACGATGATCTCATAGAGTTAGGATCAGGAAGAGGATGGGAAGTACTCCTGACTGCTGTGTTTAGCTGAAATGGATGAATCTAACGTCAAACCACAAACATACTCAGGATAGCAGTATAGTAGAGAAACACAGCCTAAGGATATTTTCCCTATGCATTTTAGCACACTACTTCTGTTGCTATTTGCTGTTGAGCTGGTGACATTCTCCATGTTTGTGGAGATGCTAAGGAGCATAAAAACAACAACTAAGAAAAGCATGTGCATTTCAATGATTTGATGTTTTAATTAAACAGTACTGTCTGTCATACTATAAAATCAGCACTTTTATCCGCAGTAATAGCCAAGATGGAAACATTACAAGTCAAGAAATGAATGTAGTTGTAAACCAGTATTTGCAAAAAGGCATCATGTTCATACTTGAGAATCAAAACCCCTTGAATTTGACATGTGAGATCCTGCCATGACTACACCTGCACTAATCCTGTCACTGCACAGAACCGATGTGTGCAGTGATTTCCTTCTCCAGCTAAGAACTCACTTCCATGCCACACTGAGAGCTTGCAAATGGCCAGGAGGCAGCTCATCTGAGCACGCTTGACAACACACTGATGCACAGCCAGGGACTCGGGTCAAGCTTGTTTCCAAAAGCAGCAACCACACCTTGAGTTTGCATCTCTGAGTTTGCTTCCTACGCAGCAGGGAAGTGTGACCTCAGGCTGGTCCTGGGGCTGCTCTCTGCAGGCAGCATAATCACATCCCACGGGAGATTCACCACCAGCTTCAGCCTAGATGAGGTGTTGATATCCTGAAGAGCTGACTTTGCATGACTCAAGCTAGACAGCCACAAACACTGCAGGGCCACAATCTCATCTATCTGGCTCCTTATCTGTAGTGGAAAAATAATCTTGCTGTTCTCTACCACATTGCTGTGTGGTTTCAATAGTTAATTGCATTGATGATGTGAAGAGCTGTGCAAGTGCCATGTAGCTTTTCACCTCTGGCACATACTGGCCATGCTGCAAAGTTCACAGTGATGACAACATCATCACCTGTTCACTCCTGCTCAGCTCCTGTAAGCGAACTGATGATTTCAATCTAAATATAAGCTGTCCAAAATACTATAAAATGAAGAATACTATCATTGCTTAACACCTGTGTTGGTAGTTCATCATTGCAATATTCCTTAGACTCTCCCTAAGCATGGCAACTATCACCAGTACTGCAGAATTTGCTGTAATTAACTCTTCTGTTTGCAATCACAATAAAAACCAGGGAATCAAGTGGATTTATAGACTGAGTCACTGGGTGGGATGGCAAGACAACACAAATTCCTTGGCTGCAATGCATCAGCAGTAAGGAGTAAGTGATTTCCAGTGCTGCTTGCATGATCCTCACTGGCATTAGCTTGTCCAGGATGGACAAGATGTATTTCACTTCAGAATACCAAAAGGATTGAGATAAGCATAACTTCATTGGCAAACCTTCCATGAGAAAAAGGCTGTGGCACAGCCTCACCCAGGATCTAGCACAGACTGACAGTGTTGTAGCAGCCACTGTGAAATATAACTTTCACACTCTGATGATTATTCTTTGACATTTGTGAAGTGAAACAGTAATTTCAGTTAGTGACAATTTAAAGAGAGGTGCATCTTACAAATTTAGAATTGAATCTCGGATACTGATTGCAATTCAAAACAGGAAACGTGGTTAAATCTGAAATTCACTGAATGCTATTTGAAATACTTACATAATTTGACTAGTTTAAATATTAGCACATTTTTACAGGCAGCTAGTATATTTTTATTAACATCACATTAATTAACTGATCTTGTTTCCAGTGAATTTAAATGAAAATAATCCAAGTCTAAAGAGGTCATACCTATAGGGCTATTTTCTTTACTAACATTTGAATAGGGGAAGGGGAAATGCTGCTTTTAAGCAGCAAAACAGAGCACTGTATCTCTCTGGCAGAGTAAACAATTTCAGAACTGTCAAAAACAGACCAAAAGGCAACTATTATCTTCCTTTTTCATTTTTAGGCCTTGTGCCATTCTCTTTATTTACCAGTATTCTTCTGTATTCATTCTTTTTCTTAAGACATTTAATATGTCTTTCCAGAAGACAATTTTTTTCCTTGATGAAGAAACACAAAAGCTCAGTTGCGCTTACTCTGCTCTGCCTTCAGTTCTGTCACTCTTCACTGCTACAGTTTCCCTGGCCTGTCTACTACCTTTCTTAGTTGAATATGCTCTTCCACTCTGTAGTATAAATTTTCACGAAATAGTATGAAAGAAATTATGTCTTTAGCAATATGTTCAGCTTCTGGGGTGATTTGTTTGGGAAAACAGATGAGGTTATTTTACAATCCAGAGATTAATGGTCAAGCTCAATAACTACAGTCTGAAGAAGAACAATTCAACCCTAACAGTGAGAGTACCAAATTAATTAAACCAGTTTGTCCACCAGTGTGATAAATTTATCCTCACTTGAAATCTGCCAGCGAGGGATCAGGGATCTTCCTAATGTGAAAACTGTGGCTGACCTTCGGGCCACCAGGAACAGCTGAGTGACAGCCCATGATTGATGTTCAGCAGGAATTACAGGGGATGACCACAGAGACCCTGCTTGGCCCTCAGGCCATATCCTTCACCCATCCAGTTTCCAAGCAGGCTAGGCTAAAACAGTTCTTTTGGCTGTTACCAGCAGCTCTTCCCTGGCCCAACCCCTCAGCCAGTTCTTTACTCTCCTTTCCATACTGCTTTTGATGCCACCAGCCATTTTTATCTTCTTGGTCTCTCTTCCTTCTCCACTGCTCTTATGAACACAATCATCAACTGATTTTCTTCCTACCTCTCCGGCTGCTTCTTCAGCGCTTCATTTTTTTTTGCCGAAATCCATTTCTCACTGTAACTCCCACACAGTTCTTTTCTTGGCTTCCTCCTCCTCTTGCCTACTCTACCTTTCAGAGTCTCATGACGTTTAACAATCATCTGTACAAGCTCAGAGCCTTTGTGCCAGAAAGCTGGATCACGTGAAGCAGCAGCAGCAGCAGCAATCACATGGCCGTATGGAGGGCTTCTACTAAGGCAATGAAATCACCGAAACATGTTCAGGCAGGACCACTGCTCAGGAGTGCTGGTCATATTTTTCCTGATAGAACTGCACAGAAATAATTTTTTATGGGTATACTCAAATCAGGTATCTCCTTTTTATCCTTACTCAGGCATTGCAGTTTTTAGTTGATACTGTAAACTATTTTTGAGCTGCACAGGCGTTTTATTAGAATTATATATGAAACCATGTACAAGCCTAACCACATTGTAATGTGGTAGGTGCTTATACAGTGAGCATAAAATGCTTTGAAATGGATACAGCTGTATAATAGTGCTCATTCTAAATTGTTCAGATTTGAGAATATTTACCGAATGGCCCAGTTTCTGTGTAGAGAATCCCAAATATAAGGAGGAAATCACACAGTATGGCTAAATAAATCACACTGATGCAGCAGATGACCACAATTACTTGAGCCTCCTGAGACTTAGCCTTCTTTAGTAATGAACATATGGGACCCCAAACCTAAGCTAAAAAAAAAAAAAAAAAAAAAAAAAAAAAAAAAAAAAAAAAAAAAAAAAAAAAAAAAAAAAAAAAAAAAAAGTGTCTATCTGTCAGCTCCCTGAGTTACACGGTACAACAATGGCTAAAGGACATGTTAACTATTCAGAAAAGCTGCCTGTGAGCGGACACAGGGCTGTAACCCGCGGTTCAGGGCACCGCGCTGGGCTCTGCGACCCGGCCACGGCAGCACCGAGACAGCTCTGCTCGGAAAGGCTCAGGCACAGAACTGTTTACTCAAAATCAGCAGTAGCAACTTCAAGGGCTTCTCTAAATCGTAGCAGGATGTCTTAAAAATTAACTAAGTCTAAGGAGCGTAAAAACCTATGCAGTCAAGACTGCCGACAGGGGTGGCTCCCTCAGCGGTGGCTGCAGGAATCCTCGGCTCTACATCACCGGCGGATGGGGCTCCGACCGGCTGTGAGGGACCTCGGGAAGGGTAAAAAAGAAGCAAGAGACCCCGCGACCCGCCCTGGGGGCTCCCCGAAGCGGGAGCGGACACGCAGCCTGAGGCGGGCAGGGTCTCTCCTCTCCGCGCCGCCAGAAGGCACGGGACGCTCATTCTCGCGCTTAGGGACAGCACTGCAGGCCAGCACCCGCCGACCTTGTCAGCTCCCACCAGAAAGCCTTTTTTAATGATAAGAAAACGAAAGAGCGGCAGCCTCCCCCCCTCAGCAACAGCGGGGCCGGGGGAGGGGAGCGCCGGCCGCGCCTGCGCGGAGCCGCTTCCTCGTTGTGGCGCGCAGCGGCGGCGGGCGGCGCGTGCCCGTCGGCGGTGCCCGTCAGCGCGGCCCCGCGGCCCCGCCGCGCCCGGCCCGGCCCCGCCTCCCCGCCCGGGGGGCGCAGCCCGAGCCCGCACAAGTCAGTGCTCGGCGCGGGCGGGAGCAGCGGCCGGGCCGGGGGGCGTGGGGGGTCGGCGCGGGTGGGGAAAGGGGCTGAGCCCGGCGCGGTCGCCGCTCCCCTCCCGCCGCCCTCCCCGCAGCGCCGCGGCGGGGCCGAGCTGGGCTGCTCGGAGGCGGCCGCGGGAGCGCTCCCCACCGGCGGGGCCGAGCCAGGGGCGCCGTGCGGGGGCCTCACCCCCTTCACCTCCTGCCCGGAGGAGGAGGGGGCGGCCGGGGAGAGGCTGGATGTAGAGGGCGAAGCCTCAGCCTCCCTCTGCGTCTCCGGTGCTTTGATGCTGCGGGTCTCTGCTGGCTGTTAACATCTTCTTCCCTCTGCTTTTTTTTTTTTTTTT